GAGAGGAAGGAAGAGAAACATCAGTTTGTTGGTCCGCCCATTTATGCATTCATTGGTTGCTGCTTGTATGTGCCCTAAGGATGAAGCCTGCAATCGTGGCTTATCGGGATGACACTCATTTGAGCTACCCAGCCAGGGCATGGTACCTGGTTCTTTTTTTTCCTTTTCTTTTTTTTCCTACTTAGTGTGGAAGGTGTTTATTTGAAGGTAATGGGAATTACAAGACCAAATTGTAGATAAAGACTTTTGTTTTCTGTAATTGCCATAGCAGCTGATGCTGGAACCCATGGGACAGAATGGGTCGGTGGAGGGAAAAAGGCATATCACATAGAGAGGGGAACAAGGACTTAGCCTCGGACCGTCTTCTATTAAGGGAGCAGGAAGAGGAAAGGGAGGTTATGGTCTAAAAGCTAGGCAATTACCCAGGAATGTGTTAGGGATCCTAAAGGAACCCTTGGTTCATGAAAGATAGCGAGGAAGAGGATTGTCAACAGTGTTCAGGACTAGAAGAATTGATAAAGGGGGAAGGAACTAGGACCAAGGCCATTGAACTTGGAAAGATAGCAGTCTCTCACTTGTTCACAGTGCAGTTTTGGAGTGTTAGTTTGAAAGCCAAACCAAGGTTCAGAAAATTCATCTGGAAAGCCTTAGTATAGGAGCAGGTGCCCCATGAGAGAACAGGTAAGAAGGGTTACCAAGAAATCAATAGTCTCTTCATTTGGGTTAACAAAACCATTTCCTACCCTCCAGCCTACATTATTAGGTACCTGGTTCTTGATGTGAAAAAATACAAGGAATTGTGGGAGCACTAGGCAGGGGCCTAACCCAGATTAGGGCTTAGGCTTCCTGGGAGCAATATGAGTGTGAATAAGGGAGGGTGTATGGGGGTGGAGGGGTTAGAGAATGGCAATGTCCTGGGCATAGCCAGCCTCAGGTGAGGTCTTGAGGGAGGAAAGAGGGAAAGATGTTCCAAGAACAGGAAGTTTGAGTGTCTGGACCTAGGGGTGAGTGGATTTGCAGAGACCGGCTGGTGAGTGGGGGAGGTAGATAGCAGGGGGTCTGGGAAGCCATATTTTACAGAGTTTGGTTTTATCCCGAGGTCAGTGAGAAGCAAGGGTTTCAGGGATGGAGGCTGGGTGGCTGGTGAGGATGGAGAGAGAGCGAGAAGCGCAGGCTGGGACAGTGGTAGCAGAGATGGAGGGAAGGGATGAACACTGAGAGTTGTTTTAGACAAAGGCTAACAGGCCTGGTGATACTGGACAAGGAGTGAGGTGAGAGAGGACCCCAGAGTTTCTGTCTTTGAAGCTGGATTAAAGGTGAGGCTTCTGCTGAGATACGGGCGGGCCTGGAGGAGGTGAGGTGCTTGCTCTGTTTGGAACAAGTTGGGCATGATGTTCCCTGTAGAACATTCAGGGAGAGTCTAAGGACAGCTGGATCTTTAGTTCTGAGTTCAGCAGAGGGTCAAGGCTAAAGATGCACCAATGGACAGAGCAGAGAGGGTGGGGTGGCCCAGGGGGAGGTCCTGAAGGACGCTGACCAGAAAAGGAGTCCCCCAAAGAGCAAAGAAAAAGTAGAGTTGGAAGCCAGGGGAATGCCCACCTGCTGTCGGGAGGCTGCAGATCAGTCAAGGAAATGGCTCCTGGGTGGGAGGTATTTCTAGGACATGGCGGGTACAGCCTGGAGCCAGGCCACAGGGGGCTGGGAGGTGAGGCGGTGGAAGGAGCAATAGCAGACACCTGAGAGGTCTGTGAACAGGAAAGTGAGGCTCGGGAGGCAGGGCTTGCTTTTGAAGGGAGAACATTGTGGTAAGTTGTCAGGAGCAGGCATAGCCACTGGAAGGAGGATGGCGCTGGGTAGCGTTGCTGGTTTCCATAGCCTGTCCTCAAACTCTGGGGTGGGGTGCGGTGGGGAGGGGTGGGTGAGGAGGACTGTCTACTCCAGGCTCCTCTGAGACTGAGTTACAAGAAGAGGGAGCTGGCAGCAGAGCTAGGCCAGGACTGGGCCCTCAGTCTCCACAGTACCTCTCTGCCCACCTGGGCCCCAGATCAAACCCTTTGCTCGCTGGCCTACTTCTGGAGTTCCCCAATCTGGCCTGCAGTGGCCCAGGCTTGGTTATTTCTACCTGGAGGCTATGCTGGCCTGGGGCATTAGGGACCAGGGGACTCAGAATTGCCTCTGAAGAGACAGACTTAAGTGCTTACCTGTGAAATTAATTGGTGAAAACGCGCGCGCACACACACACACACACACACACACACACAGGGTTGGCCTGTGTTTTTAATAAATTAATTTCACAGGTGAGCACTTAAGACTGTCTCTTCAGAGGCAATGTGTTCCAGTGGATGGATGGGAGAGAGTAAAGGGAGGACAGAGGAAAGAGTCCTGGACTGAATTCCCAAAGACCTGAGGCTGCTTTTTCCTGCCCCCGCCCCCCGAAAAAGCAGAATTGGGGAGCTTGAGCCTGTATCCAGACCAGAACCCACCTCTCCGGGAATTCTCAGAAAGAGTTGCCTGTTAGGATCCCTCTCTGAGATTAGTCCCCACTCGGAGACAGCACTCCCCGAGTCGCCAGGGTGGAGCTGAACTCCAGCTGTCCGCGCGCACAGCTGGAGGGTCACGTGGTAGCAGCCCCAGCCCCCCTTCCTGCCAACGCTGCAGCTGGCCTAGGCGGGTCCATGGCCGCCCTTGGGGCCCTGCGCTGAGCCC